TAAGATCCTCTCACAACACACCAGTGTGCTGCGGCACACTGGTTGAATATCACTGTCCTAGATTATTTTCTTTCTTCCTGAGCTTCAGCTTTCCCTTTGTTCTCAGAGTGTGACTCTAGGGTCCCTGGGAAGTGGGAGTGTTTCTGGTTGTGCATGGCTTTGTAGGGAGCCTGTGCAAACACTGGGGGCTTAGTGTGAGATCCAAAGATTTAGGAGCCACATTTTTGTTTGGAAGTCGTCTCAAAAATAAAGCCCCTTCTTCCTAGCTGACAGATGTGGAAACTGAGGCCTCAGGGTGCAGAGTGGGGAAGGAACTTGCCCGGAGTTATATTGTGAGTGGGACAAAGACTGGATGATGAGATGCTGACTCAGGCATTGAGTTCAGGACTTGCTCTTGTTCTAGTGGCAGTGTTATGGTGGTAGTGTCCAGTGGCCTCTGTCCTGGTATTACCTTCCTTGAGCTCACACCTTCGTGTCCCCTACTCTGTGTGTTCCTATGAGAATTCAGAGAGAGTCTTTGTGTCTGCTTCTGTGGCAGGCTGACTTCCTCTTGATTTCACTGGGAAATGAGAAGGATCTGAGGCAATGTGCTCACCTCATATGTGTGTCTGTCCTCTGCCTGCTGGGATGCAGGGCATAGGATCCACAGCTGCGAGATCTGGAATTCCAAGGGTGGTTGGCTTGATGGATGTACTAATGAATAGATGGGTAAGGGGGCAGGTGAGTGATGTGGATGGAAGTCTAATGAACGCAGAAAAAGGTAGATGAATGGATTCATGAATGCATGAATGGATGGATAATTTCATCCAGGCAGCAGAGCCAAACTTCCCATATAGCAGCTGTTCTTAAAAACTACCCACCCTCCCTCCCATCCCTGTAGCTTTGAGAGCCTGGATACCTGAGGTTTTGAACAACTGCTTCAGGGAGCAGAGAAGAGAGGATGTCATGGTCTCAGCCCAGTGCAGAGGGGTTGGCACAACCCCCTCACCATTGTCCCTTTCTAAGGCCTGCCAGGCCTAGTTTTGTTGCCAGCTGAGATACATCTGATATAACAATGAACTGTCTTCCCAGGGAAAGATGCTCAGTCTAGCCTCCTTGCTGCCATCTGACCCCAGAAGCACAAACTTGTCACTCCCAGATGGACAGGCCCTTAGAGGCCACTGTCTGGAGGCCAGCCAGCTTCCTTTGGGGGTTTCCCAGGCATGAGGCACTCAATCCTTACAGAGCAGCGCTGTGGGACACTGAGGCTGTGGCTCAGTAAGGCTGAGTTTCCTTTCCCATCTTAGCTGGGGAGACTTTCTCAGGATTGCCTCTGAGCACTGGAGTCCATGTGGATGACAGGGGTAGCAATGGGGTCCTCCATGCTGAATCTCCCAAGCTTCCCTGGATGCTTCTTCAAACCCCATGGACTTCTCTCTCATTTCTGACCTCTGGCTCCCAGGTCTATCTGTGCCCCCGAGAGGCATGGCCACAGGATTGCCCAGCTGGCAATAGGTTAGGTATGGACAGAATGGACAGTTGGGCCCTCACCTCTGGCTGCCGAGCCTTGCCTCACATATTTACTTATTCTCTAATATTTGTTGAGTGACTACGTTGTGCCAGGCTGCGTGCTGGACACCAGAAAAGAGTGGAAACCAAAATAGACATGATCTCTGTCTAGGAAGCGGACAGACTAGCAAGTGTAAGTCAGTGTGATGAATGATGCAAGAGGGGAGGGAGAGGGAAGCTAGTGCACCTGGCTGGGGTCAGGAAGGCTTCTTAGAGGAAGAGATGACCAGGCACAAATGGGAGCCAGTGGGGCAGAGGAGAGAGAAGAGCCAGACAGAGGGAATGGTGTGGGCGGATGGGTACTTTCCCCCCTGGCAGTGGAGGGGGGCCCTCTGTCCCTGCCCCAGCCATGAGAACTGGTTCCCAACAACTCCTTTCCCCCAGTGACATCTGAGCCCTGAGGCACCTGGATGCTTGAATACTTGCCTTGGAGAGCAAAGACTGGGAGGCATGAGAGACTGGCTCCCTCAGGGAAGGGTCACAAATTTAGGTTGCTGAACTGTGAAGTGTGATAGAGCAACATGATGGGGAGACATGGTGGGGCTGCCCTAACTGTGGGGCTGATCCTGAGAGGATCAGGGTATTGGGTGGAGGTTGGTGAGGAGTTTGTTCAGGCCACTAGATGGAAAATAGATCCTGCCTTCTCATCTCCATCCTTCCTATACCTGCCCTCTTAGATAGGCAGCAAACAGATGCAGACGGATTTGTGAGTGCCAATAGCTTTATTGGAAGCATTGCGTTCTGGGTGTGGAGAAGCTATGCCCTCACACACCCTCTTGCTCGCATTCACACACTCACACTCACATTGATGCTCCAGGTTCTGCCCTGGCTGGGTCAGGTCTGGTGCTGAGGAGCTGAAACCTGGCCCTCCCTTCTGGTCCTTGGTTCTCCAGGCCAGGGTGATTCATATTCCTTCACCCAGACACAGGGCTCCCTTTGGTGTTGTCATGGCTAACTGCTATGGCGCTTGCTCTGGGGGAAGAAGGAGATATAGGGTCATGGCCTGTACTCTTAGGAGATCAGAGAGAGAAGGGAGGGCCAGGAAGGGCCAGGCTTGCCTTGGCAGCGGTCTTCTTCAATCTTCGGATGATACGGTCCACCCAGGGCTGGTCTGGGGGTGCACAGAGCTGGTGGCCCCTCAGTGTGGTGAACCTGGAGTTAGAGATCAGAGGTCAGAAAGAATAGAACCCAGTGTGGCTAGGGACTATCTGGGAACCTGTTTCAGGAGTTTCCTTGAAGGAGCTGGGCTTGGCCTAGCTGGGGGATGAGGAGGTAGGAGTATCACCCAGAACCGATGGGAGTGATGAGGCTAACCACTGTTCCCAAAACTCACACAACAGCAGGCACCCTGCAGCCATCCTTGATGAGGAGGTAGCGAAAGGCCCTCACAATGTTCCCAGGGATGGGGCGCTGGGTAACAGACAGGCAGCAGTCTTCAGCATCATTAGCACCACCTAGAACTGAGGTTGCAAGAGGGCATAGGGATCTTGAGGAGGGGAGGCCATGGCCTAACTGGGATTAAGAACATGAGTATGTGCTTGTGTGTGTGTGTGTGTGTGTGTGTGTTTATGTTTCCCACATGTGTAGCAATTAGACCAATATGGCTCTACTGGTTGTAAATATATTGTAATACTTATAGACTGGTAAACAACTACTGCCCTAAGCCCCACAAATGCCTTCCTGCTGCCCTGATCACCCCTACCTCTCTCCTAGGACTTTTCAACTTCCCCACAATCTAGTAAATGAAGAGTTAATTCTGGTCCCAGCCCTGGGAGGGATGGGGTGGAGGAGAAGCTGGTTGGTATTAAGGGGCTTATGAATTGCTAAAAATGTTGACTTTCAGCCTTTCTCCCACCTTAAGTAAATACAGGGTGGACATAATATTCATGCCCAGAAATGTTATGTTCTCCCTGTATATACTATTCTCTCCTGACTAGGAAACTGAGGAAGCAGGAAGTAGAGCCTACAGAGAGAGGGGTAGCAGTAGGCCCTGGAATATACCAAGAGACAGATCCACATAGGAATTCAGAGGCACCCACATTCACTGAAACATGCAGACCCAAGTATTCATGAGTGAACTCACCATGTCCTTCATGTCCAGTGCCAAGCAGCCTGAGGTCTGGACATCAGCCCCTGCCCACCTTTCACCCCAACCCTCTTCTCAGCCTTACCTGGGGAAGTGCAGAGAGCCAGCAGACTGAGGGCCAGTACTGGGGCCACATGGGGTGCCATGAAGGGGAACAGAGGCAGAGCAACAGTGCGTGTGAGTGTGAGTGGCTCTGGGTGTGTGCAGGAGTCTATGTAAGGCTTTGGCTTGGCCGGGCGTGCAGGAGAGTAATGGGAAAAGCACAGGGGTCCTTGCAGGCAGATGGTATGGCCCAAGAAGTGTGAGCTAGTGATACTTTGTGAGCCTCTGGCCCCCTTTTATTTATGAGTGCTTTCATTCTCTGTCCAGAAATTCCCCTCATGTTTCATTCTGTGGATTCCCTCTGCCCCCCACTGGCAGAACCTGACCCTGCCCTCCCTCTTCCCCTTCAACAGCCGCTTCCTGGCTTCAGCTCTGAGAACAAACCTAATAAGTCTGCAATCTGGCTAAGAAAAGGCAAGAAAAGGGACTGTGCATTGTCACTCCAGGCAGAGGGTTTGCACTGTCATCTCTTTGGTGGCATGACATTTGTATCATTAGCCATGAGGCTGGTGTTCAGAAGTGATGGTCAGGGTTGGGGGCAGGTTGAGAAGTTATACCCCCTTCTCTTGTCTTATCCTTCACCCTCAATGGTGCGTCTTTTCTTTCTGTGGAGTCTGGTAAAAAAGAAGGCTCCGTAGGGCCTTAAGGACAATCATGAAAGCCTGGGGTGGCCTCCCAAGTCATCACGGTGCTTGCCAATCCACCATCTGGGAACCAGTCCCTCCCATAGGACAAGCAGAAGTGAATGTCAAGATTCCTTGGGAGGAGTCCCAGGACCCCCATTCCACATCTCAGGACTCTGGCTCAGCAGGTCTGCCCCCTTCCCCAAGTTTTTTCTACGTTCAACACCTGAGTTAGAAGAAGAGCTGGCAGGAGCTTGGCCTGGAACAGTCCCTTCATCTTCCCCCTACTCTCAATCCTGGAAAACGAGGGGATTTCTAAGAAGAGGAGTTGGCCAGCTCATATTCAGGCAAATCCAAAATTTGGATTTTGAGAGAGGGGCCAAGTGATTTCCTGCCTTACGAGAAAGACCAGAAGAGAAGACTCAAAAGAGATATTAATGACTGGGCACAGTGGCTCACGCCTGTAATCCTAGCACTCTGGGAGGCCAAGGTAAATGGA